CGTGCAATCGTCGGAGCGAAAGCGGGACCGAGGAGCGGGGTGGGTTTGTTTTTTGGTTTGTTTTTTGTTTTTTTTTTTTTTAATTTTATTTTAAACGAGTTGCTTCTTTTAAAAAAAGAGGAGAGAAAAAAACGACCCTTAATTTTGGGGTGGGGAGGGGAGGTGGGGGGGGGAAGAACAAAAGGGGTCCTGCGGACACGCGGCGAGCTTTTTGGGGAGCCCCTGGTGCATTTTAGGGACTGATCGTGCGAAGCGTTTTTACCGACCTGTTGTTTCGATTCGTGACGGTTTTAACGATGTTGCATCAAGATAAAAAAAAAAAACTTATATTCAACTAGAGCCTGGGTCGGGTTTTCTCTTCATCTCAAGGGGGGCTGGGTTGTGGGGAGGGGGGGCGTTTATTCCTCCCTTTAAATCCCGGTGTGGATGCCAAACCCTCCCCGGGGATAAATCCCGTTGACCTCCGGCTTTTCGCTTTTCCTGCCCTTTTTTTTTTGTGGTTTTGGGGTTTATTTCCCGACTGAAAAGTCCCGCAGACCTTTATCCCTGCGGAAAAAGTCGCCCGATCCAGCGTGTGATCCCAGCTCGTCCCGAAGAGCCGCCGGCTGGGTTTGAAGCGGCAATAAATGATTTATTTTTTTTTCCCTTCCCTCTTTTGGCTTTTCCCTCTCGAGTTTTTAATTCCAAGGAGGATAAAAAAAAAAGAAACCACGAACAACCCCTTAACAAACCATCACACGCCTCCCCTAAAGAAAACCTTTCGTGCTGGTATTTTTAGGGATGTTTGGGGGTTTTTTTGGGGGACTGTTTGGAAGGACGTTTTTCCTGCAACTCCCGAGCGCGGCCGCTCCGCTCGCGGCTTTTTCCCGGCTCGGCGGGAAAAAAATTCCGAAGCGACCCCTTGGTCCGGCGTATTTGGGGAACGTTTTATATTAATTTTTTTTGATCTCTCTGTGGTTTTCGTCCTGTGGTTTCGCACAGGTTCAGCCTCGGCGGGTCCTCAGCCGGGAGCTGCTCCGGCTCCGTGGCTGCGGCTTTTCCTCCTGCCGCCCTCCATCAAACTCCCGGGCTTTTTTCCCAGGATTTCTGGGGTTTGCCTGTGACCCCACAACCCCCCGATCCTGCCTGTCCTGCGCCCCCCAGACCTCACCCCTCCTTTTCTTCCTCCTTTTTTTGGCCGTTTGGTGTCTTATTTTCAGGGGGTTGGAGCAGCCGGAGCTCGGCTCGATGTCGGACTGGGATTTTTGGGATGGGAGCCGGGAAGCAGAGGGATCACTTGCCCCAGGGCTGGGCAAACAGGGGGGCTTGGGGAGGGGGGATTCACCCCCTTTTCCTGGTTTTATTGAGATCCAGGGAAGCTTTGGAAATCTGACTCTGAAGGAATAGAACCCGTCCTGCTGCCCCTGCAGCCGCTGGCAGGACTTCGCCTCCTCTCCCGGATTTTTTTGGGGATGAATCGCATCTTCCTGGTGGGTTATTCCCCAACTTTTCCTCCCGATATTCCTTTCTCGTGGTGCTTTCGATTTGGGAAAACCCACCCGGCTGCCTCATGATTAAATAAGAAGAGTTTGGGGAGGAAGAAGGTGTTCGGGGCCGCTGCCTTTCCCAAACCATCCCGGAGACTTTCCATCCCCGCATCCATCCATTTCCTCATCCCTGGATCTCGCTCCGCTCTCCCTGTGGGGTCACTGCCCCTTTTCCCACCTGCAACGGGGCCGGTTCTGGAAGCAGAGCTGGCTTTGGGGGGACTCTGTGGGGTTTTGGGGGAACACTCCCTGTGGGATCTCACCCCAGGATCCCGCCATTGCCTCCTTCCCGAAAATCCTTGTCCCACTGCCTTGGCAGAGCAAAGGCAGCGATTTAAGGCTGAGAATTCCCAATTTTCCCCCTTAATGCCTTGATGCCCATCACCCTTTCCCCCACCCTCTCTCCTTTCTGATTTAGATATTCCATTTTTTGGGGGGAGCACCAAGCCGGGGTCTCGCCCCGGAGCAGATTATTTTGGTGATCCTGGAACTGCCCCTTTTCCTTCATTCCCAAAGGGATGTGATTCCCGACCCCTCGCACCAGTTGGATTTAATTTTCGTGCTTTCCAGCACCTCCTGGAACTCCCCCAAGCAGGGAAAAACCGGATTAGGACACGGGGGGGATGGGGGGGTTGTTGCCTCCATGGGGGGGACCCAATTCCAAGGCGCTTTTCCAGGGAGATTTGGGGCTGGAATTTCACCTTCCTGCCCCATCCCAGTGTTGGGGTGCAGTGATCGTCATCCCCCTAATTCGCTCCAGGCTTCCTGGGATTGGGATACGCCGAATAAATAATAAAAATCGAGTGTTTTAAGCCCAAATTTGGCTGGTTTATGACTCATCTCTGTGTTGGGGCTCTGAACCCCCCCCCCTTCCAGGTTTTTGGGGGGTATCTGGGTGATCCCTGCTTGGAATTCCAGCGGTTTTTTGGGACTGCTGCACCGTGCTGACCCTTGCAGGGCTGCGTGCGTGTGTTCCACGCGTGCTGGGCCGCGTTTTTTTGGGATGGGGACGTTCTGGGATGGGCTGGTGTGTCCCCAGTGCCGCAGGGCTGCGGATGTTCCGGTGGCGCAGGAGGACGTGTGGCATTTTTGGGTCACTCCGACCTCCTTTTTGAAGGCTCTTCCCGCATTTTTCCTGATTCCCCGAGAAAGAGTGGAGCCCCCTTTCCCGTCTCCTCGCTGCTTTTTTTGGGGGATCTGCACGAGGTTGCAGGAGGACCCCACACTCCTCCTCCCGTGAGGATCTGCAGCCCCTCTGCTCATCCCGGGCATCTCCTGCATCCCAATTCCAGCCTTTTCCAAGGGGGAAAAGAGCATCCCAACCCCGTGGGATGCTCCAAGTGGTGCCTGACACTTGGGATGGGGGTGTGGGGACAATCCCTGGGGGTCCCCTGCACACGTGCAGAGCTTTTTAAACCCAATTCCAAGATTTCCTTGCCTTCCCAAGGCACTGCCGGGCTGGGAAACAGCTGGAATTCCTCCAGCCATCCCTGCCGGTGGGTTTTCCACTGGGAAAAGGAGGTGATTTTTGGGGAATGCTCACCCCCGGACACTTCAGCACCTTGGAACACTTTATCCAAGCTCACATGGATGCTTGGGATTCGTTATAACCCCTGGAAAAGCCCCCCCCTCCCCGTGATCCAGGGCCGGGCGCTCCGTGCCACTTCCAAGCGGGAATTTCTCCGGATCGCTGCAAACAGGAGGAAAACCACGAGGAGCGGATGGAAGCAGCATCTCCAAAGTGTCCCTCGCTTCTTCCTCCTCAGTTATGGATGATCCCACTCCCAGGTTTGTTCCCAAACTGCTGCTCTGTGTCCCAAATCCCGACATCTCCAGAACATGGGAATTCCAGCCCCTGGGCTGTTAAATCCCAGTGGGCTGCTGGGAATGGAGGGATTTGGGGTGCTGCTCACTCAAAAAGCAGGAATCAATAAAAATCCCAGCAAAACGAATCCCCAGAAAAGAGAATCCTGGCCCGGGCTCGGTTTGGAGCCGGGATTTTTTGGCTGGAGTTGATTTTTTTAATCCTTGATTTTTCCATGTTCCCTGCTTTCCAAGGAAGCCAAACACTTCCCTGCCCTTCAGATAGAAATATAAATATATTATAAATACCTTTGTGACCTTGGGGAAACTCGGCTCTGCCCCAGGATTGAGGCTTTGGCACTTCCCTGCCTCATCCCTAAGGCTGGAATTCATGGAATTTATTCCAGCCCTCTGCCAGCGCATCCCGAAACTCTTGGTGGGAGGTGAGGCCGTTCCCAAAAAACAGGATGTGGGACCCACCCCCACACCTGCACGGCAGGAACAGGATCATGGCTGGGGTTAGATCCCAAATTTCTTGGGTTTGGGTGGGTTTGGGAGCTGCCCAGGGATGCTGCTGCGGGAAGTGGGATGCAGGGAACGGGTTTGGGATGCAGGGATACAGGACGCTGGATGTGGGATACAGGTAGTGGGATTCAGCATATGGGATATGGGATGCAGGAGATGGGATGGAGCAAGTGGGATGAAGGATGTGGAATGCTGGATGTGGAATGCAGGATGTGGGATGAAGGATGTGGGATTCAGGGATACAGGACATTGGATGTGGGATGCAGGTGGTGGGATTCAGGATACGGGATCTGGGATGCAGGAGGTGGGATGGAGCAGGTGGGATGCAGGATGTGGGATGCAGGATGTGGGATGCAGGATGTGGGATTCAGGGATACAGGGCATTGGATTTGGGATGCAGGTAGTGGGATTCAGGATACGGGATCTGGGATGCAGGAGGTGGGATGGAGCAGGTGGGATGCAGGGTATGGAATGCAGGACACGGGATGCAGGTTGTGGGATGTGGGATTCAGGGATACAGGGCATTGGATGTGGGATGCAGGCAGTGGGATACAGGATATGGAATACAGGAGGTGGGATGGAGCAGGTGGGATGCTGAATATGGGATACAGGAGATGGAATGT